TTTATAATTTTAATATTCTTTGATTACAACAATAAAACAAGATGAAGAAACAACTATTAAAAGAAGAATTTTTTTTTTGATAAGATAGACTTTAATGTTTCATAATTTATTAATATCTTAGATATTCCCCATATGATATTCGTAAGTATTTTTCAAATACATATTTGGTGTTTAAAGTAAAAAAAATATACATATTCTTAATCTATTGATGGTTATAAAAACAGAGCTGTGTCTTTTGTTTCGAACTTTAAAAATACCTAAATACTTGCTAAAAAAACATAACCTTCGAAGTTACAGTTATAATAAAGAATATCATGACCATGAAGAAATTATTAAAAATCGAAAAGTGATAAATGAATATAAAAAATCTATCAGGTTACTTAATAAAAGACTTAAGATAACTGAGAATAAGATGAAATCTCTTCAAACAAAATTTAATAATGAGGTATTGGAGAATATTATTATATGATTAAAATATTATGAAGTAATTACGGAATATGATAATACATCTCAAGCATATAGCAAATCACTTTTGATTATCAAACGATTAAAATGTAATATTGAGATACTTCAAAATACTCATTAGTTTTGGTCATGATATAATGAATATTAGATTAGAAAATATAGAGGATCCCATGCCTTGATTGTTTTCGAATATTATCACCATGTGCGAGAATGGTGATGAATAATATGTGTATGCTCGAAGTTTGATTATTTTGATGATAGTTGATAATACGTTCATCACATTATGTTTAAAATGAAGATCAACAAATCCAACATTCGCAATGTAGAATTGCCTAAAGTCATTCTAACGACTAGAAGACTATTAACAATAAGGGAGAAGACTCTCTACCATTGAAATAAGAAATAGAAACAATATTTATACTTTTATCTCAATGAATACAAAATAAAACAAGTACATTAGATAGCATAAATCTTCAGCATATTATTTCTAATTGTTTTGTAATCCTTTGGACTTGTTATCAAGGTTTAGATATATAATTGCCATGTACATGTACATATTTAACAAAATAAAAGTTATATCTGAAATAAAGATTTCTTTTAGTTATATTAAATTTAATATTTATAACTAATAATTTATACTTTGTTTTAATTTATAAATAAAATCATAATATAATATAATCATTTAATTGTCATAATGAATTTTATACTATTATAATTTAAAAACTAGTCTTGATAATTCTATCATTAAATAAATTTACTTCTCTATTATCATATCCTACCCCATTACAATAGAGGATTGTTTTATAATTCGGAAATAAATAATTATGTAAAAATTTCCTACCTTCTTTTTTATTTTCATGTGACATTCTGAGATATGTTATATTACCTATTTTTTGCGTTGTCCAAATATAAATTCTAAGCTTGTCATAATTTTTCATATCACATGAAAATGTGATACCTTTGGATGTTTTAACTTTATAATATGTACTATCTTTAATGCTTACAATTCTTGCTTAGTTATAAAGTTTACCAGAGAAATATTTACCTCTCTGGAATTCTGATAAAACTTGGAAAGTGGGATGTATTTATTCCCAAAAACAATCTTCTTGAAAAGATATTTTAAATCTACATAATAAACACTTGAAAAAAATACTCATTTTTATAATATTTATAATGAGTATATATTTGGTTAAATAAATATATTTATTAATAATTAAAAAAAAAAAAGAACTACTACGAAAAAATGTTCCCAAATCTATTAATTTTTTGATTGAAAAAAAAAAAAAAAAAAAAAAAAAAAA